AAAAAGGTCAATAATAAAGTTTCAAGGTAATTGAAATAATGTTATTATTAGTTATCTTTTATTTATGATCTGAGTAATCTGAATCTATCTCTATTTGTTGGTATAACAAACCTTTTTTCTTATCCTTAGTTTTCATAATTTTCTATCCTTTCAAATACTTTAAATACAAAATCTATATATTTAATATAATCCTTATACTATGTAATAAATGTAAAATAAAATCAACTAATTTGTTATTAGACATTAATTTTAATTCATAATTATTTTGAATTCTACTATCATAATCATGAATATTAAGTTGTTACACTTCTAAAAGTCCTTTCAGTAGATTTTCCTTCTTATATGAAATCAAAAAACATGATATAATGTAGTAAGTCATATCAGTTCATAAACTAGTAAATATACCTTCTTTATATCAAACTCTTGAACTAGTGATATCTGACTAAACTCTTTTTTGAAAAATTGTAATTTTATCAAAAGTTTTGTCTCATTAATATTATAACCTGAATGATCTTTAAGAATTGAAAAATGTGATACAGTAAAGTGATCTATAAGGTGATCAATATGTGGATTGATTTACAAAATCAATGACATAATGATCTACAAAAGTAATCTGTGAAATTAATCAGATCAGTTAATGAAGAAATAAAGTAATAGATCATTAGCCTATGATGAAACGCATAACTTTCTAAACTAAAAACTCCAAATAGGAACTTTAAGTAAAAACTAATCAAAGGCTAAGTAGTAATAATTTAAGAATAATATAATTATATTTTCTACATCTCTTCAAATATATATATATTATAGTTATAGGACTATTGCATAACTATTAGGTAGTTATTACTTATTTATTACAATAAATTACATAGAAAGATAAGAGAATTATTACATAGTTTTTATGCAATAAATAGCAATTTAATGTAGAAATTTTATTATAAATAAGCTGAGTTTTTCATCATGTATTGTTAGAAATTTAGAAAGAAGTTTAAAGAGAAGAACTTAGGAAATTTGAAAGATAATTTATAAGTTAATAAAAATCTTTGCTAAATTGTTTCTGAAAATCAATCATCTATGTTAAACATATTTTTGTGTTAAACTACTTTATGTCAATTGTATTTAATATTATTGATTTATTTATATCATAAATTTCTTAAGTGCTAAACAATTGCTTTATGTCTTTAGAGTTACCAATGAGTTAAAGTATTTAATATTATAAATATTTTAAGCTGTGTATCAATAATTTAGTTATAATAAGTTTATTATAATGTCATTAAGATAATTTCTCTAATATCTTAGAAAATTATAAGTTATCCATAATGAATTAGAAGTCTTTATACTTGCCAATTCAAAAACTTAATTATAAAAGTACACTAACGTAAATCAAAGTTCAACATAATTAAAATCTCTTCCAAATTATCATAAAGATTGAGCTAAATCTTGCTGCTATTCAATTGATTATGTATTTCAGTCTGCCTAATCAATATTTGGTAATAATATTTTATATGAATAAATATAAAATTATTATATTTTTTAATGTATTTTAATTCAAGAAATTTAGATCAAGTTAAATATAATTTCAGCAATTAAGTAAAATTAGGGATGTTAAACAATCCTAAACAATCCTAAAAGTACCAATAAATTTGCTAGTTCTAGAGAAGATTTTTATTTTATTGGTATTGTATTTTACTTTCTAATGATAATTTGTTAATTAAATATAAATTAAAAATATATATTAAACTTATACAGGAACTCAGAATCTTAATTTTTAAACTTAGAACCTAATCCTAAAGACTGGGTTTTACCTTAACAGTCCCATGTTAATTGTCAATTCTAAAGTTCATATTTCTTTTATAAGTTATTTATAAAATTTATTATTACAATTATTTATCAAGGGTTATTTATTATAGATAAGCGATTAGACTTTTCTATAACTCATAATTTCAATATTTATTTATAATCATTTGAGACTGGTTGACATTCTTAAGTAAAATAATTTCATCATTAATAAAAATCTAGTTTTATCATTTCATTTTCGTTAATTTCATTATATTAAGAAAGGTAATTTTGTTAGGTATCACTACCTTGAACGCATAATTTCTGAGTATTATACTCTCTGGTATCATTTAGCAAGTAAAGATTACTAATAAGATGAGTACACTTTACTGACTACTGTTTTGCATGATTATTGTTCATTAGTATAATAAAATAAGTAAATCGATAATGGTAATACAGTTTAGAATTAAAAAATTAGCATATAACTAACTTTTGAAATTACAATCTTTCAAATATGTTACTAGGTTTACTAAAAGCAGATATAATTAGTACTTGTACCTTAAAGGCAAAAAGAATGATCACTATACTGTAAAAATTCATATATTAATAAATATAAAGATCTCTAATCAATTAATATTTTAGTCTCGTATATGTTATAATTTGTAATGCTGATCACTTTTGTCAAAACTTTAATTAATATATTATAAATCAGAAAATGCTAAAGGAGTAATGATGTTATCAAGTATGCAGATCTTAGATCATTTAATGTGAATCCTCTCATATTACGAAATATTTATATAGCTAATTCATTTCTGTTACTAATTATGTAATTCTCCTCTCCTTCTTTACGTTCTTAACTACACTAGATTTCTGAATAAATTATCCTATCTATATTATATTTATAAAATTTTGTCTATCTATTTACAATAAAAAATATTAAGTTTTGCATAAAAACTTTCTTGAGATTAAGTAATTTAGACTTTATCATATAAGTTTAAAGATATTAGCGAGATATAAAAAAATAATTCTTAATTTCTGATTCAACTCACTACTACAATAGTTTTATTCCACCTTATATATACAAAATTTATTATTTATAGAATTTTTTATTAGATACACTATACCAAATTTATTGAGATACGTAATATAAGACATATAGGTAACTTCTCTAGCAAGACTATTAAAAAAAACTTAAGTTATATGATTTTATATATATAATGTGACTAATTTAGCTAACTCTAAACTAACTTTAACTTATCTAATCCTAATATACATCACAAGTTAAAGGTTACATCTGTAACAAATAATGAGTGATAAATAGGTTAAATAGGTTTTTAAATCCTAAAAAAACTAAAGTTTTTAGATTAAATAGTAAAAAATAAAACATAATAATGTGATGTAGTATAAAAGATTAATATAATCATATTATTTAAGCTTTTTTGATGTTGATGTTGAAAAAGATCATATAAGCTGAAAGATTTTTGGTTCAGATTGTAAAAAAATTAATTTTGAAAGATTTTAGAACATTTTGAAATTTTTATATTATAATTATGATAATTCAATTTGAACTGAAAAAAATCTAATTTTAGGATATCATTTAATATAGTTAAACAGAAATGATTTTTATTAGAAAAAATTCAAAAAAAGTTGCATCTGAACTATCAGAAATAATTTTATTAGAAAATAACTAATAAGTTTCTATAGATATTTTAAATTTAGAAATAATTTAAATTATAGTATTAATTATATATCCAATTTTTTAAGTTGATATTAATATTAATTTTAAGAAATTTCAATTTATTTCAGGTTTCTTTATTAAAAAATAAATAAAAGTAAATTTTAATCATATTTTTGAATACAAAAAATTATTGTATAGGTTAAATTGAATCATACTTGTTTTTATGATAAATTTAATTATCTTTTATTATTATAACTTTTTTATTATAATATTATATTTAATGATATATTAAAAAAATCAAAAAAAGGTTTAATATTTAATTTAGTAGTAATGATTGGAATTTCTGTAATTTTGATCAATATATCTAAAGTAAATAAAGTAAATCTAACTAATTTAAAATATATTTTAATAGAAAAAATTTATATTTATAAAAATTATATTAAATAATATAAGAAGGTTTGTTTAAAAAATGAGATTCTGAGAATTTTTATTGTATATTAATTTTTGATAATATTAGATAAGAATTAAAATTTAATCAAAAAATTCTCAAAATCCCATTTTTCTAGCATATCTCTTATATTTATAATTTATTTTTTAATAATTATTTTAATAATAATATTATTATTAAATCTTATTAATAAAATTATAATTATATAAATAATAAATAAAATTTAATTTTTATATTTTTTTTTAATATATATAATTTAAAAAATTAAAAAATCAATATTTTTAAAAAAGTAAATTAAAGCAAATATGTTTTTTTTTAAAATTAGTAAGTAAATTTCTTGTTTACTTAGAAAATATCTTAATAAAATTTAAATTTTAATTTTAAAAAAATAGTTGAGTGTCACGTGATTTCAAAATTCGTTATAATCTTTTCTTTATCTAAAAGAAAATCATCAAGTACTATGAAGTTTACGTCATTTAGATACTTTAAAATAGAATTTTCCTTGTGAAAGTTCTAAAAAAAAATTTTTGTAATACATATTAAGTAAATAAATATATAAAAAAAAATTGAAAACACAGGTAACAAATGTGACTTTTATATAGCGAATATTTGATTGGTAGAATTTGAGATCTGTAGACAGAATATAGTATTAGTTACGTTTTGTGTATCGATGTCAAAATATTTTTTTTTCCAACTTTATAAATAATGATTCCAAAACTCACTTTTAATATTTACAGAATTTTTTCTATCAAAAAAAAAAAAAAACCACGCTGGCTCGCTGGTATCTTTAATATTTTTTTTCCGCACACCACACATATTTTTAACATTATCCTTTATAAATTTTTTTTTTCAACTTTTTCAAATTTTATTTTATTTTATTTTTTTTTTGGAAAATATTCAATTTCTATCCAAAATTAAAATCAGAATCAATCAAATAATAAGAGATGAAATCAAAAAATAATAAAGTTTCTCGTTATCCATGGTCTCAAAACAAATTGAATGCATTTAATCCTTTTCCTCGTCATAGTTTTTCTGCGAGTGCTCATGTTATCAATGATGAATTGTTTCTTTTTGGTGGTATTTCACAAGATAAAGCTACCAATGAAATCTTTGTTATTGAATTTGGTAAGTATTTTAGGTAATTTTTCATATGATCAGATTAATTTATCAGATAGGCGATTAACAGAAAGAATCATTGCAGAATCACTTAATGTTATTCCAATAGCCACATCGGGTGATGTGCCTAAGGCGAGAAGTCTTCATACACATATCAACACCGGAACGAGTCTTTTTGGTATAATTTCGAAATTAGCAGTTAAAAAATTTTGCTTTTATGGGAAAAATGCGAAATTTAAAGTAACCTTTATAATTTCATAGTTTTCGGCGGTAAATTTGACAATCCTGAAGATAAACTAGATGGAAACATTTATATGCTCGACATAGGTAAATCATTATAATTTTGTCTTTTTGAAAATACGATCATTGGTTTGAAACATAATTTTATTTTTAGGTTCAAAGTATGTTTGGAGCAAACCAACAATCACAGGAAATCTTCCTGGAGGAAGATATGGTCATACATCTACAGCAATTGGAACAAAAATATATATTTTCGGTGGTCGAAATGATGAAAAATATTTAAATGATTTAATATATTTTGATATCAAAAACTTCAAATCAATTAAGAAAAAAAATAAATTAAAGTTCACTTTAAGTAAAGGTAAATATATTTTTATCATGTAAAATATACTTTCTGAGATTTAAAGCAATTTTTTTTTAAAAAAAACCAAAAAAAAATAATATATATTGTTTTAGGAAATAATAATTCATCTGTATGGAATTTTATTGTTCCGGCAAATTCTTCACCACCTGCAAGGATTGGACATATTTCTTGTAATTATGATGATAAAATTTATATGTAAGTTCCTAAAACTTCAAGAAATATTTTTAATTTGATATTTAAACATACATTATCCTCCCTAGATTTGGTGGGAGTGATGGAGAAAAATATTATAATGATACATGGTGTTATGATATAAAAGAAAATACATGGAAAGAGTTATCTTGTACAGGTTACATACCAGCTCCACGAGAGCTACATAGCGCAACAATTATAAATGATGTTATATACACTTTTGGCGGAAGAACAAAAGAAGGAACTGAAATTAAGGAATTAGAAGATTTGTGCGCTTTTCGAATATCAAGTAAGCGCAAAAAAAAGGATTTCTTTTTTTCTTTTGCTCGGAATTTATTTCTCAGCTTTTTTATAATTACATTATGTAGATTTAAGATGGCACAAGTTCCCGAATCTTGGTCCATCTCCAAGTCCTAGGTATAGTCTTAATATGACGGCGTCTCACGATAAAATATGTGTCTTTGGTGGTGATTGTTCTCAACCGCCAAAAATAGACGAAGATGGGATAATACATATTTTAGATACTTGTAAGTCATAATCAAATAGAAATATTTTCTTTAATTTTAATTAATAAATTTATTTATTTAAAAACAAATTTTTATAGCAAAAATAAAATTTCCAAGTGGAATTCAAAAAAAAGATTTTGCTCAACGAGAAAATACGGGAAATATGACTGCTTTGCCACCTCCAGAGTCAACTCCGCCGCAATCAAAACCACCTTCCCAACCATTACCACCACCGCCACCAATACGAAAGTCCATACCGCCGCAATCGAAACCACCATCACAACCATTACCACCACCACCGCCAACGGAGCCTCAAAAATCATCCAAGGGTAAAGAAGTAGATCGAGGTCCATTAACAATAAGTTCACCACCAACAATGTCACAACCAAAAGTTATCAACAGCAAAATAATAATACAAACAGGCAGAGAATCATCTCTCCCACAAAGACCTCCTTCTTCAAAAGGAAGGTTATTTGAAAATGTGAATTCTTTTCGACAAGATGATTCGCCTACTAATTCTGAAATTAGTTCATATGAATTGCAAACAATAAATGCAGCTCAAACACAACAGCAACAAGAATTTCGGTCATCAGGGGAAATAATTCGTAAGAACTTAATAGAATATATAGTTACAGGGGATATCAATAAGAATGATTTGACAGGATATAATAGTAATCCTTCGTTACCATTACCTATTAAGTCAAGTATTAACATTAATGCTTGGTCAAACCCTATACAGGACATGTCAATTAAACGAGATTTTTTTGAGGTTCAAAATTCAATTCCGGAAGATTCAATAATGACCACAAATGAAAGTCCTAATATGCGAATTTTTCTCGATAATCAGCGAAGAATTTCACATCGACGAACAACTTCACAAGAATTATCAATCTCATCACCAAGAGTCTTAACACCGAGGAGAATCTCAGTTGATAGTAAGCCTACAACACAAGAATTATCATTAGGGCCTTCACAGAGACAATTTCCTATCAGAAGAGCTTCCGCAGATAATTATAAAACAACTAAACAAATAACAGAATTTCCTTCAGGACGAAAATCTAGCGATAATCAAAGGACAATGACACCAATTATTGAATCTCCCTCGAGGACAACCTTTGCTGATAATCAAAAAATTATTACGTCGACGATTGAACCTTCTTCGAAAATAACTGTTGATAATCAAAAATCTACATTTGTAATGGAATCACCCTCAAAAATTACTTTGATTGATAATCAGAGGATAATAACTCCAATAATGGAAATTCCCTCGGACACAACATTCGTTGATAATGAAATAACAAGTACGCCAAAAACGGAATCTCCCTCACACACCCCAATAATGGAAAATCCCTCTACCACAACTTTTGTTGTTAAGGAAAGAACAATCACACCAATAACAGAATCTTCCACGAAATCAAGCACAACATTTGTTGATAATGAAAGAACAATTACACCAATAGTAGAATCTCCTACCGAAACAACATGGACAACTTTGGTTAGTAATCAAAGAACAACCATACAGACAACTGAAGTTAATTCATTAAATATTTCGATTGATAATCGAAAACTTGCTTCACTCTTTGAAGAACATCCCTCGATAATATCGGTTGGAAGTCAAAAAACCACACAAATAACAGAATTACCTTCATGGCAAACTTCTACTGATAATAAAATGGATTCGCCGATAACAGGATTTGCTTCAACCACCACCGACTCAACGTTGACTATGCCAGAATCATCAATAATTTCTGAACAAAAGGAATTAGTTTCAAGTGAAGCTACAAGAAATACGACAATGGACGTTAGTGAAAATAATACCGAGAAAATTAAAAACATCCAAAATGTTACGAGAAATGATAGTTCAACTACTTCAATTGATAAATTTGCTAAACGGTGTTCATCAGATTCTTTGACATCGTCATCGTCAAATCAAAGCAATCATTCATTATCAAATCGTCGGAATGGAAAAGACACTCGTCCACGTGGTGCTAGGCCCATGGGTGCCAGCAGACCAAATAATAGTTCTCCATTACACATAAGAACAGATTCCGATCAATTAAATCGAAATAGTTTGATAAAATTACAAGAATCATTGACACATTCATCTAGTAATGGTACAAATACTCCGGATAATTTATCAGTTGCTTCATTGCGAAGTGGACATTTTGTTTTTAATGATGAAGAAAATACTCGAGTACGATCATCATCACAGTCGAAATTACCAAAATCTTCTATCTCGGATGTCAAACCGAATAACGATGATAGTGGGAATGAAAAAGCACATCATGAAAGTGAAAGTGACGGTTCAATATGTGAAAACGATGATATCATGACAACATCGTCGAAGACGGATGATAGTATTGTTTCTCAATCACCTAAAATAGATGTCACCGAAAAGGTTTCAGATATATCTCATCCAAATATGGATGGTGAAAATTTAAAACAGGAATTTGAACATCATCAGTCAAATATAGAAGAATTTAAACAACGAGAATCATGGTTTAAAGCTGAACTGGATTCGGCACGTAAATCAGGATTTACACCTGATCTATATGACGACGGGAATAAAGAAGATGGAGGTGCAGTGGAAAAAGTCGAACAAATGTTAATTAATGGGAGAGATGATGATGAAGTATACAATGCAGAACAAAGGAGAGTTATGGAATCGATCGTACAAATTCAACAAAGGTTATTGAATGCAAAAGCGAAGATATCAAATCAAGCACAGGTCGTATCACAAAAACTTTCATCATCAGAACGAGCAAGATCGACAGCGGTAAATGAGGCAAATTATTTTAGGACGAAATTAGATACTTTGGTCAAATTATCTGAATCCAAATTTTCAAATGTTGAACTAAGTCAAACAAAAGAATTGGAAAAACGATTGATTAAGACATTAACGGAAAATAAATTGTTAAAAGATCAATATCTTGAATTGTGTCAACTATCAAATTTAGAAAAAACCACAAAAAAATCGGTTAATGATCAAATACAAATTGATATATCAAGAGCCGAAAGTACCGAAAAAGCAAGCGATAGAGTCCTAGCCAAATTAGCCGCCTTAAGGTTAAAAGCTGCCACATCCGAGTCTCAATTAGAAAAATCAAATAAACAATTAACAAAGGTAAATAATGAAATAAATTTATTTAAGAAAGAAAATTCCAATGATAGATTGAAAATGAAAAGTCTACACTCGAGTTTGGATCATCATCATCAAGTTTATGAACAAGTTAGTAGTGCAGTATTGATAGCCAATGAAAGAGCTGAAGAAGCCGAAAAATTATGGAAACAATCTAGAAATGATATTTTGAAATTAGAAAAAGAAGTGATAGGATTAAAAAATGAACTGGAAAGTAAAACGAGAGAATTGGATCACGCTGTTGACAGAGTTGATGAAGTTGAAAGATTATTAGGTAAAGTACAAAAAGAAGGTTTGGTGGTTAGAAATATGATGCAAGAAGGAATGACTGAATTATTAAATATTAGTTGGTGGGATAAAGTTAGTAATAATGTTTGGGAAAATGCTAAAATTAGAAGACTCGAAGAAGAATTAGCTCTTCTTAAAAATTCTCAAGATGATGATAATATTATAAAATTATATGAATGAATTCTCGGTCAAAATCCTCTAATATTTTTTTTAAAAAAAAAAAAAAACAAAAATACTTTTATTTAAATTTGTTATGTATATATAGTACGTGTAAACTATGTAAACTTTAAATATAAAGCGGGAAAGAGTTTTTTTTTGTATTATATATATGTATAACAAAACATTATTTAAACAATAAATATTCTATAAAAATAATGCAACTTCTTGAATATCGATAGTGTCAATTAAGAGATCGATACAAAATTGCTAGAATTACGAATAGTCAGAAAGAAGCATAGTATATTATGGGATTGGGGATTGAATTTCCCTACAAAGGATAAATGAAGTGTAGTTTACAGAACATATTTTATTTATTTGGTTGGTTTTATCTATGAAAAGTACAGGGAACTCGGTAAATTCTTTGCATCTTATCCCAAGTAAAAAGTATTCAGACACCTGAATGCCTTTGATTTTGGTTTGCCCTTGAAGTCCAACTTAAATTTTCTATTAAAAAAAAACTTATTTACGGTATCTCAGATAAACTTATTTGTCAAAAATATTAACTAATCAAAGAATGTAAAAAAATAAATTACTTGAAACTTTTTAGGAAATTTTTAATAAGCATGCATATTTTTGTTTGTTTTTTTTTTGCTGATTATTTAATTTAAAAAATATGAAACTCAATGATTTTAAAATTAAAAAATATAAAATTTTATAATATTAAAAAAATAATAAATAATTTTATTTTTTTTACAATCGATACTGCAAAAGAAAAAAAAAATAATACCTGTCAAAAATAATATACCGATACCAAAAATAGAAATTTTGGTAACATCAACAATCAAGTAGTGATACACTGAACCGAATTATTGAACGAACTTTAACTTTAATTCTGTCCAAATGCAGTTGGCTGAAATAAACGGAGAAAGTAACTAATAGAGAAAAAGTAACTACGGTAATATGACTGGTCGTTGACCTCCAAATTTACCACGGCTGATACCGCAAATTTTTTCGAATGAATGCAGGTGATGTGAAACAAGCAAATTCAAAGGGATGGTTGCGTTAAAATTTCGAAACATATAAAACCTCAATTTAGTTAGCTCAAAAGGGAGTTGGTAATGTTAAGGACCCCCCTCCCCCCCCCCCCCTTATCCCTAAAAATTTTGTTGGTATCACATAAATATATTTTTTTTTCGTTTGTATGATTTAAATTTTATCATACATATATATATATGATTTGACAAGAAATATACTTATCATAAGATTTGATTCCATTTTCAACATAACGTTATTGTGCATTTACACCTGAAAATTACTGTAAGTTTCCTATGATGAAGGGTGTTTTATTATACGGTAAAATATCTTTTTGACTTTCATTTTTTACAATCGTTAATAAATCAACAATGTTGCGTTTCGAATTTATGTAAACACATATTTTCCTGCATATCACGTGAAACACCGAATATTTTTTGCATCAAAACCAAAAACCATTTTGCAAGAACCTAAAAATTTATTTTTAGTCTGTAAAGAATCTGAACCAAACTTCAAGTCGATAATAGTAAAATATGCGTGAAATTTGAAAAAAAAAAAAAGTAAAATACTGTATTCCCAAAAAGTTGATGAAGCACAAGAAAAGAATAATACTAACAAATCATTAAATCTTAATATTGTTCTTTGATTCTTTTTTTTTTTTTTTAGGTCACAAAGATTGTGTTCCAAGGAATAAAATGAATTAATTTAATTAAGTATAGTAACAATACTTGCAAAATTTGCCATTGATATGGTTGCGCAATTCCTATTTCAAATACAATGCAAATGTGTGTAACTGTATAGTGTCATAGGAAAAAAAAAAGGAGACGCTTTAAATTTATAAACCAAATATGTATTGTCAAGTTTTTGTATATATAAGTCGTGTTTTCTCCATGAAAAATAAAATTTTAATACCAAAATTCGACAAGTCAAAAAAAAATATTTTTAAAAATCTCGTTAGTACTGGTATTAACGTCGAGCATCCAACATACAAAAAAAGAAAAGAACTCGCACACCACTCAGAAAAGAAACGACATAAAAAACTCATACACGAAATATAAAAAAGTTCAAAAACAAAATCTCATTCACTAATATAAAAATCTTTCTCACATTTCGCATCATAAAATGGGGGGAAAAGTTTCTTCAACGAATTCATACAATTGGACAAAATCACGCAAGCAACGTTCTGCTCTTTTCGCAAAATTTCTTAATATAATTCTTTACACAAAGTACATCGACTTAGTACCCCATTCAATACTTTTAGAAGATATTCTATTTCCAACTAAAACAGATAATTGGTCGGAACAAGAATACAACATTTGGTCTTTATTATTAAATTTATTAGAAGAACGAACTAGTTTAGGTTACATAAACAAGGTGAAGATATACGAAAAAACTTATCTTGAAATGAAATTCGTCAACGAAATTTATGATGAAAGTTTTAAAGATTTAATTGAATGTTTAAACAACGATTATTATTATTGGAAAAGTTCTTTAAAGATTTTAGCAAAAAATGTTCAAGATGACCTTAAAAGGTCATTGCCGCCTTCTTCTAAAAGTGATGATAGTGATGACGTTCATTCAACAAATTCATCATCGGTAGAAATTACTTTGTCACCGCCCAAGAAACAGTTTGGTGACATTGTTCCTTTTGAACAAGTTGAAGAATTATTAAACAAAGTACAATTACAATATGGGATAATATATAAAAAGAAAGGCTGTAAATCATTTAATAAGAATGTTTGGATTTGGGAAAAATCAAATAAATCAAGTAGAGACAGTAAAAGTAGTAAAACGTCCAATTTAAACCCTTTAGATTTATAAAAATCAATGACGATTATTGTAATTTAGTATTTGTAAAAATTTGTATAAAACGAACTTAATTATAATAAACTTGTATATTTCAAAAATTTCAAAAGAAATCTCGTATTTCACGTGATCACAACGAAAATTTTTTTTTTTTTTTTTTTTAATTAAATTCTTTATAATATAAATGGGAGGTTTGCTATTAAAATCAAGTTTCGAGATATCACATCCGAACGTAAATTTAATAGAAAATCTCCCAAAAGTCTACTAAATATTATAATTATTAAATATTTGTAATTTAACGAATCCAAAAAATCGATCTTATTATTATTTATCTTAAAATCATAATCATAATTCATATGTATAGTACCAATGCCAATTTATATTTTTAGATGTATTTTTGTTTCTAAATTTTTATGCCAATAAATATTCCTAAATTTTTATATTCTAAATATCGTCGATTTATATTCCTAAAATTTTGCCAATCTGTATCTTCGAAATGAATGCCAATTTATATTCCTAAATTTTGCCGAATCTGTATCTTCGAAATGTATCCTAAATTTTTGCCAATCTATTTCTTTGAAATGCCAATTATAATTATTTCTAATGTATATAATCTATATTTTCTAATCTAAAATCTAAAATATCTATTAAATTATTTTTAAAATTCTATTCTATTATTGGATTAATTAATTAATTGAGAAAAATCAACAAGCCTGCTTGAAGAAATATCTTTATGATAGAATCCTTGCCGATGAAGTTTATTTCTTTCTGACTCCAGGATGTTATTCTCATCAGTATTACTAAAGTCTGATATATTAGAATCGTCAATATCGGTTACCCAACTTTCTAATATTTCATGTAATTCGAATGCGGTCGGACGTTTCAAAGGATTGGGATCCCAACATTTTTTCATTAATTTAGTAAAAATATCGGGAATTCCACGAATAATTTTAGGACGTTGACCAAGACAAATTTCATTCATCAGTTTATGGTCATATGGAGTATTACACCATGGTACTATTCCTGCAGAAAGTATCCACATGATGATTCCAAAACTATAAATGTCCGTAGAATTTGTTGTTGGTTCCCCCTTTAAAATTTCAGGGGCTAAATAAGGAAGAATTTTATCTAGTTCGTTTCTTTTATCAATTTGAAAACGTAATTGAATATCGGTGAAACGTATATTTCCATCTTCAACCAGCAGATTACCTCCATGAAAATTTCCATAACAGTATCCGATTTTTTTTTGAACACGAATGATTTCTTTGGATAGTCCCCAAAGTGTTGTAATAATATCTGTCCAACCAAGAAATCCGCGCATTTCTTCTATATATGAATATAAGTCACTATCATCATAATATTTCATAACAAACATGAAATCCGATGATGAAGGATCCTTAGTTATTCCAAAATAATCCGCAACGCTTCCATTAAGTGAACGATGATAGTCATAAAGCTTTATTAATATGAATTAAATAAAATGTTAATAGAAAGGTATAAAAGGAAGCGTCTAAAAATTTAACCCCATATGACTTTCGGCCGGCATTATGGAAATTAACTTAATTGCAAACTATTAATCACGTGGGGTGAATAAATATTGGGTTGTGATCCAAGAAAATCAAGTTCTGAGACTAAAATGTAATAAGATATTAATTTTAGTCAAAATTTTCTCGTTACTTGAATTTCTTAGATCACAACCAATTTTTCACACCCTCATTTGTCATAATTATTCGCACGCTAATTTCGGACAAGTTTCATAATGCCGGCCAAAAATCAAGTAGTTAAATTTTTGTCTGTAGTCATAATTAAAATCATCAACTTACTTGTATTAAATATTTTTCACTTATATTTTGTGAATTATATCTCTTAAGAGCAATTTTTATAGGTCCATTACGTATAAATTGTTCATCGTTTTCATCCCAACTCCATCGAGGACCTTCCATCCAAATTGCAGAATAAATTTCACTAAAGGCCCCCCCTTTATTTGTTTTTTCTATAAGATCCAATTGTTCAAATTCAATATATTCCAAATAATCTACACATCCAGTTGCATTTAATTGAGTATGCTGAATGAAATTATCAATAACAATATTTCCGCTTGTCCAATTTTTGAAATTTTCTTTAAAAGCACCACTTTCACAATCTTTACACCATCCAACATCGATTCGTTTCTTTCCACAATCTACGCAGTCTACATTAATTTTGCATTCCATTTTAAGAGACAAAGTCGTTATTCGTAGACTTTCAAAATCTATGTAAAAGCGTTTTGTCCCGGTATGCTGTCGGGTTCTGGAATATTTTCGGGCCTTGAACGATCTTATTAGGATAAATACCAATTGATTTTATACGTTAATGACTTTGGATATCTCATATGACTAAATATGATAAAAGGAAATTAAAGAGATACCAATAAATAGATAGGTCTCGTAAAGAGAAATTTCACATTTATATCAATGACTTTTAAAGCATTCTTCCATTGGTTTTATCACAAAAAAAAAAATATTTGGATAACCAATTATTTAACAATATTCAAAATTAACTTTTTTGGAATTATACATAATTGTAAATTTTGTGCGAAATTAGTTCTAAATATAAAGGTCTACTAATAAACCTAATAAACCATTTGCACCTACCTTTGACTTATCATGCTTTGTTAGTGCGGTCATGTGTGAGTGGGCACGCTTAAAATAAATTTTGTGCTGAGTCCTTCTTACTCTTATATGGGAAGATTGCTAGGAGAATCAAGTTCTGAGAATTTTTTTAATAAAATTTTAATTATTATTATTATGATGTTACAATTTTATTATAAAAATTCTCGGAACCTGATTTTCCTAACAACCTTCCCATATATTATAAAAACAAACATTTAATATATTTTAATTGTGCACTACATACACCACGACATATAAATGTGTTATTATAATAAACATTATGTACCAAACTTACTTTTTCAAGGAAAAAGCTTGTATCAGTAAAAGTAACCTATTCCGGATTTGGGCGACTTTTGTAAATAATATTTATTAAAGTTGACAAAAAAAAAGGTTTCTTTTCAAATTTAAATAAATTCTTTGATGTAACGTCGATATTCAGCTGGTACACAGATAAAAAAAAAAGGACGTACAAGGTGCGTACAGAAATCGTTCAGTGATGTCAAAAAACATCCGGAAAACCCATAACTCCTCAAAATATGGTTTTGGCACGTTTTCCGATGTATTTAGATGACCCATCATCTCTGAACGCATCTATACACAACTGTAAGCTTCTTTTTCGTAACAGCTGAGCAATTTAATTTTTTGTTCAATCTGTCTGTTGGAAATCTTTGTTTTCAGTTTCTAATAAAACCAAATTTCGTTAAGTCGAAATTACTGCTTTATTATGAAGTTTTTTTTTTTTTTTTTTTTAAAAAAAAAAAAAAAAAAAAAAAACGGTATAAACATTTATTAACCAATATTCTATATAAATATATATTGATTTTTTTATTCAATAGTACCATCTTATCGATGTTTGACTTTGCTCGTTTGTTTTTAAAAACAATATTTAAATCAAATTAAGGATCATATGATTTACTATGTTCGTAACTCGCAAACGACCGCTATTTCTATAATACGATCCTGATTTAAAATTTTGCTTCTTTACGGACTGGCAATACTGGGCGCGCTCGATATATGGCGAAATTAAAGATGAGGGACGAAACTCAAAAAAGGCAATTAATAAACAGCCGAAACTATATTAAAACATAGTGAGGGGTA